TTTGACAGATCGCACTGGATCACAGAGCACTGATCCTTCTTTATTTGTCACCTGCTACAGCTTAAAGCAGTCTAGGCGTCACCACTAAGATGCTCATCTGTAACCCTCTACAAGTCACACAGCACACAGACATTTCAAACTGGCTCACCCTCTCATATCCTGTCGAACCTGAACTCTCAAACAGAAATCTTACAAGTGCCTGGAGCAACCAGACTTGTACCAAGTATATCACTCAAATTCACAAAAAATTTACTTGTCAACATGTAGTTATGTAGCAATACACTGAAGTAGTGGACAGACTTTGGGCCTCTGCTCAAGCGCCCCCTCAATGCAAAAACATTTTGTTCTAACAACCTGGCACTCTGATGCTCACCCTCCTGGCACAATCTCTGAAGACAAAATGGGTGCATAAGCAAATGTGGTGAAGAAAGCGGATGGTGCCCTGCTCTCAAGAGATATAGCATCTGGGGTCTCAAAGGCTTGAGATTAAACAAGCAAGCATCTAGCAGAGAAGCAACAAGCCCATATGGAAGAAGCACACCAGCCTGTGTGATCATGAGGTGTCGAGAGAATCAGGTAACAGGCACCAGAACCAGAAGAGCCAAAGCAAAAACAAACAAACATACAAACAAACAAACAAACAAACACATTGTTGAGAATGAGGGGGGTCGGAGCAGAGACCCAAAACCCATATGTATAAAATAAGACATCCCTTCACAGAAGGGTCACAAAGAAGGGATGAGTCAACCAGGGCACAGTATATCACCAATGAACACACAATATTCCTCTGGTTCTTTGAGGCTTCCTCACCCCCCACTATCATGACTCCAGTCCTGCCTTTCAGTTCTGGCTAGACTGGAGCATGTTCACTGGTACAGATAATAGCTCACGACATATAGAATCCAGGTCAGATAAACCGCTCAGGAACAGAATTTGGAGTAGCGATACCAGGAGGGTAGGGAGAAGGTTGCGGGGAGAAGAGAAAGGGGGAACTAATCACAATGATGGGTGCATAATGCCCCTACCTAGGTTGGGGAGGGGGGCGTGGAACAACAGAAAGTGGTTGAAGAGAGACACTACTTCATATAAGATATGAAAACTAATAATTTATAATTTATCAAAAGGTCACAAGGATGGGAGAGAAAAAAGAGGAGCTGATAGCAAAGGATCACATAGAAAGTAAATGTTTAGAAAATTATCATGGCAACATATGTACAAATATGCTTGATTCAACTGATATATGGAATGTTATAAGAGCTGCAAGAGCCCCCAATAAAATTATTTTAAAACAAAACAAAACAAAAAAGAAGGAATCACAGGTGCAGTTCAGGATCGAGACTTAAGAGGAAGACAAGAAAACAAAGTGGTGACAAATAAATTTTTAAAATATTAACTAAACTACTAAAATTATTACCCAAAGACAAATGCCTTCCACACTCTTGGTGTGTTTACTCTAGATATTCATCCCATGCCTACATCTGTATGCATCTATAATATTTCCTTTCCACAGAAATGAAAATATACTTGATGTAATCACTAAAAAAGACAACGGTAACTGTTGATGTTTGTTCATCTACAAATACAGCACCGTGTCCTCTGAATGAAGTATCTGCTGTTGCTGGTGTTAGGGTCAGAGACCCATAGCAACCTATGGTACAACTCAAAGAAACACCACTTGTCCGGGCCGATTCTCCAGTCGTTGTGTTTGAACCCATTGTCCCAGTCAATGGGTCAATCCATGTGTTTGAGCATCTTCCTCTGTTTCTCGGACCCTCCATTTGACCAAGCACGATGCCCTGTCCAGGGACTGGTCCCTTCAGACACCATGTCCAAAGGACGCGAGGCAGAGTCTTACTGGATTTACTGTCAGGAAGCACTGGCTGAGCCTCTTCCAGGACAGATTTGTTTGGTGCTTCTCCCGATCTGTGGTCATTTCAGTGTTCTTCACCAACCTCACAATTCAAATACAGCAAATCCTCGCTGGTCTTGCCTGTGCGAGGCCCGGCTTTCATAGTCCATGACTTGGGTTGGGCGACGCACTTCAGTCCTCAAAGTGACCCTTTCTCTCCAACAGTTTAAACCGGTCTCGGGCAGCAGATAAGCACAAGGCAACATGTCCTTTGATTTACTGACTGCGATTTCCAGGGGCATTGATTGTGGATCCAAATGAAACGAAACCCTTGCTAGCTGCAGTCTTTTCTCAGGCGACGTCGGTGTTTTCTCTTGCTGGTTTCTGAACCTCCAGCTGTAATCCATACCGAGGCCCCCCAAAGGCGCTTCAATTCTAGGAAGCAAAGTTGGTTGAACTCCCTATCACAAGCTGTTGATAAGCCTTCCTCCAAGCTGGTGCCTCATTCTTCTCCAATACAACGCAGCTTCCCCGATAGTGCTTACGCGTCGTGCTGCTAAATGCAAGGTCAGCAGTTCAAAATGGGGCTTTCTACTTCAGTAAACTCTTCCAGTCTCATAAACCCACAGGGGTAGCTCCACTCAGTCCTATAGGGTCCCTGTGATTTGGCATCAGCCTGATGGCAACGAGTTTGGTGTTTGGTACCCAGATGGAAACGGTGAAAGGATACATCTCTCACACACATCTTCTTTGCCTTGAAGCCATGCAGTATCCCTTGCTCTCTCTGACCCTTTCGGTCCATGTGCAGGTCCTATGTAAGTACAACGAAGGGTCTGGAATCCTTATTCTCCACAAAATTACTCATACGTTCCTCACAATGTGTTATGATCCACACAATCAAATGCCATTGCATCGTCAATAAAATACAAGTAAACATCTTTGTGGCATCTTCTTTTCCGGACAAGACCCATCTGATGTCAGCAATGATAGATGCTCTGTGCTAAATCCTCCTCTGAATCCCTGGGATTTCTGGCAGCTCCCTGAGATTTCTGGCAGCTCCCTGACTATGGACTGCTACAGCTATTGTTGTATGATCTTCAGAAAAATTTTACTTGCCTGTGATATTGAGATTGTTTTGATAATTTACAAATTTTACTTGTAACTTTTTCTCTAGTGATATTTAAACCGCCCCATCTCTGGAAACTACTGAATTTGTTATTTGTCATACAATAACGATTTTGATGTAAATTTGTTATTTATAGTTTTATTTAGTTTTGAATTTTTAATTATATAAAAAATTTAAATTATATAGTCACATCCATCAATATTCTGTTATCTCTGCTGTCACATTATCTCTAGAACATATTATCTCTAGAATTAGCATATTTATTTTCTCCGATGACTTTTATACTTTTAATTTTTGCAATTATTCATTTATGAGACCACAGCTAAAATCTCACTATAACTGTTTTAGAATTCATATTAAAATAAGTAAAATCAATGTGATGATACAAAATGAGTTTATGTATCACGAAGTACATGTTTATTTATATTTCAGAAGGGTTGAATGGGGGCAAGGGTTCTTAGAAGTTCTTTTCCTTTCCAAAGATTGTAGTAGTGACATCAAACGACATAAAGATCTGGTTATTTTTCTGAGATAACATTACCATATATACTCATGGATAAGCCGAGGTTTTCAGCACATTTTGTACGCAGTTTTTGTGGTAAAATTAGGTGCCTCGGCTGCTATTTGGGTTGGCTTATACTCGAGTACATACGGTATTTCCTTTTGGTCTCCCACTGTGTTCCCTCGTGATGTCTGTCTCCTGAGCTGGGCGGTCGGCATTCAAGATTTGACGGGAGTAACTTCTACCCAAGTCTGTGCTCTTTCAGAAATTGCCCACCCAGCTGTCCTCACCAGGTCTGAAGTGGAGCACCGTGTGTGGCATATCGCAGACACTGGCCGATTCAGTGAGTTCTGTGTCGGACATCGACTTGGAAAATGATCAAAATGGTAAGTAGCTAAGGAGTATTTTCCGCATCATAATCCAGCATCAACATGCCGCTCGATGAACAAAGGGAGCCTCAAGACGGAAGAGAGCGAGATGTCAGCCACGTGGGCAGCTACTGCAAGAGCCAGGGCCCAGCTCTGAATGGTCAGGAAACGGCAAAGAAGGGTTATGCTGCAGTAACCTATAAAGCAGCATAAAGTCCAGTGACAGAAACCACGAGGAGAGGAACAAGAACCATTTGGCAGGTGGGACGCGGACAGGAGAACGTTTTGGGTGTCAGGCATACTGAGGTTACAGTATGGGTAGGGCAGCCAATTAGAGGTGTATGGTGGGCTGGGCCGTCAAAGATTCTGGACGAGGACTCAGGTCCGTGAACCAAGGGAAGTAGGAAAGGCCAGCAGACTTTACAGGGAGCTACATGTGAACTTTTGTCTCCTCAGAGGTGGCTCCAAACAAAGACCTGGTGATTTATTTCCCCAGACGAACAGCCACTGAGAATTCCAGGCTGACACACACTTTGGCTCTGACATACATGGGGTCATGCTGAACTGACATCGCATGGTATCAAACACTGATAGGTGTTATGTTCATAGAATTTGAATTTCAATTGCAGAACCGTCTGCACATTCGTGAAAAACAGGAGAATCAGAGAGAGAGAGAGAGAGAGAGAGAGAGCCTCAGCTGACCCTAGCTCTGCCATTTCTAACTGTATAGCCCTCAGGGGTGTTTACTTATGCTCTCTATAAATCTGAATTTCGCCATCCAAGAACTGGGGATCATAATACCTACCTCAAAGAGCTGGAATAAATTATATAATCTATAAAAAGTGCATGCCACGGTAACCTAGATTATAGTAAGAAGTCAACCAAGGTTCATAATTAATGGGGGGCAGGAACAGAATTTAAACACTAGCTTTGGGAGTGGCGTACCACAGGATGGAGGAAAGATGTAGAGAGCTTGAAAAGACGGAGAACTGGTGAGGGAAATGGGAGAAAACCTTGAAAATACAATGTGATGAGCGCTAAGGCTTTCAAGGAAGTACCCGATTAACGAGACTTGACAATAGAGACAGGGAGATGGGCCATTTGGATGGGTCTGTCCTTCATGTCAGTAAAGCCAATGTGGACACTGCTACATACCCAGAGCTGGTCGTCCATGCCTGGTGGGTTCTTTTTGATAAAAGCACCATAGTATGTAGCAATATTTCGGTGATGAGAATATTTCTTCAACATATTAATTTCTTGCTTGATTTCTTCCTCTTCATCCTGTATTGAAATGATAAATATTTTGTCATTAAAATCTATTATCTTGAGGATTCTGCTTCTCATTGCAAGCTCTTTCAACAAAGACTAAATTCTTCCTTAAGGTTTTTTCGGTCATGGTTATAAATAAGCGTAATCTTATATAGGCTTGGAAAGGGAAAGCTTACAAGTGAATATGATGTCAGTTTAAAGGGGTCTTCTGTTTATCCAGAAAATGGACATAGCATGCAACCTTCCGGAAAGAAGCACCTCATCCTTCCGGGCGGATGAGAGCCACGGGCACAAGCCACTGAGATAAAATTCTCTTCATGCAGATGAGAACAAGGTAGACAGGCAGTGAAATAAAATTCACTCCGCCTCTGGGGAAAATGGCCTCCAAAACTCAGAACTGTGGCTGTTCAGTCATTTCCCCTCACGTTGACCCCGTCCAGGTCGGCAAAGTACAACGGCCCTGTACAGTTTTCTTGGCCATAATCTTCAAGGAAACCGATTGTGAGGCTTGGCTTTCATGGAGGTACCTGGAGAGGTTCGAACTGCTAATGTCTTGGCTCACAGGACAGCACTTAACTATTGTTCCATACAGGCACAATCTTTCAAGCCCACTTGTAGAGAAGTACTAGACCGAAGACGGTGGGAATGTACTGAGGGAGTTGACAAAGCAAGCCCTGACCTCACTTCCAGTACATTCAACATGGAAAGGGGAAATGAGATGATGCCGCGATACTCTCTTACCAAGGAAACATTTTTTAATTTGCAGCTTGCGTTCATTCTGAGTTTCAATTCTGAACTTACCAACATGGGTCATTTTGGTGGCCTTATAAAGAGCCCCGGTGATGCTGCATGGTAAGCATTGGACTGCCAAATGGAAAGTCCGAGGTTCAACCTCACCGTCTGCTCTACGGGAGATGAATGACTCTACATGCTCTCATAACATACAAACCTGGAACCCTATGCAGGGTCACAGTGAATTCGAGTAGACTTGGTGGCAGTGGGGATTTTAGGGGGCAAGTAATGGTGGAGAATGTATATTCTTCTCTAGATATTTAAATGGTTTTACTTATTTATTTTAAATTTAGGTTTAGTCTTTATTTTTTTAAAGCACTTTGGATGTACAGAAAGACACAGAAAATCCAGAGAGCCCCGTATAATTTTTTCCTCCTGACCACCATGTCTCCTGAGAACATCTGGAATTCCCCTGGGACATTTGTGACGGGTCATGAACTGGTACTGACACAGGTAACTGGTGAGAACCCAAAGTGTACATTGGGGTTGCACAGTTCCATGGATTCTGACCCTTACTTCCTGTCACATGCTCTCATCACAGTAGCAGGTAGAATGGCTTCCCTGCCCTGAAAGGGCTCTGCGCTCCCCCTAGCCCCCAATTTTTGTCTTGGTGGAGGTGGGGACATCTGTTGGACTGCCAGTCTTTTATTTTGGAGGTTCGTGGGAAAAGCGTCTATCCCAGGGCCACTGTTACAGGCACAGCCACAGCAAGGGCCATACTGGATTCTAAGAAGCTCTGGCTCCGTGACGGGAAAGACAGCCCACCGGTCCCTCTCAGCAACCCCAGCCTCTGCCTCTTCTCTGGAGCTTCCTGAAACCCACCCGCCCCCTACCTCGGCCTCTCCTCTCTTCTTCACACATGCCACTCCTCATTCCTGGCTGAGTTTGAGCGGCATTGTCCAGGAGATCTCTCAGGCTATGTCAAATCACCCCCCACCACCAACACTGCTGCCCCACCCCCCACTTCCTTGCTGCGTCCTTCCCTTGGTAAGCATGAAGCAGGGGTGTGCGCTGTGTCCCCACTGCCCTCTCAGCTGTCTCTCCAGGCATCGTGAGCGCTCCGCTGCCCTCTGACCTCAGTTCCAGAGTCCCTTCGGTCTGACTCGGTGCTGACCCTGCCTGTCGTCTTGTGTCTCTTCCTTCGTCACACCCATCAGAACCCCCGGGCACCCAATGATCCGAGGAGCGTCTCTATTACTATCGCCCACAATAACCATAGCAAGGGCACCCCGCTGGCTTTTGTTCCCGCACCAAGCACTGTGCTGGTGGATGAACTGACGGGCAGCAGGGATACTTGCGAGAGCAGCACCCCAATGCTTACAGGAAACCATTAAAAATAGCACGAGGTGAAGCGGCGAAACACTGACATTTGCTGATCACACAGAAAGGATTCTTGGTGAACCAAAACAAGACAATAGAGATCTGCAAACCTAGGGCAACTACAGCACATTCTCTATCACATGGCCTGACAAAGTGAGGGGCCAGCCAACCGTCTCAAAATAGAATCCAGGCCTGGGATGCTGAGCTCAGGAAAGCACAGGCCCTCACCCTGGGGCAGTGGATGCGGGGCTGGGCTGGTGGCTGGTTGGGGTGCAGGGGGACGGAGGCCCACTCTTTTTCAGGCAGCGATCAGACGCTGCCCACACTTTCCCCCCACAGGCCGAAGAAGCGGCAGGCCTTCACAGACCCACAACTGCGAGGCTTCACTTTTGCTCAGGGTTCCGTGCCGTGTGCCTGAGAACTCTCACGATGGTGCATATTGCTATTTTAAACTCACTGCATGGAGCCACATACTTCTGGATGGCTGCGGGGTGGGAGTGAATGTACTTTGGGGAAGCCTAAGTGGAAGGGGGCAAGCCATGCACCAGGGTTTCCATGCACAGGATGGCTCACAGCTGCTGGGCTCAAAGAGGCAGAGATGTGCCAGGCAATCCAGACCCAGGTCACTCCCCAAGGCAGCCGGGCACTCTCCTGTCTGGGTGGGAATTCCGGCTTCGGCTGTAAGTACTTACTGCTTGCCTGTTGTTAACAGGACAATGTGGGAGAATGGGGTTGGTGGGTGGGGGTAGGGGACTCAAAAAATGCTTACCATATCATTAAGGAAATAAGGACTCATGAAACAGCTAAATAACAGTGTAATTTAGCATATAATTAAATCCAACATAAATAGTATCAGAAGTCAACACATTGGCCATCATCTTGCAAAGGTAAAGGGAGGCAACAAGGCAATGAGGAAATTATGCACTGAGGTTAGGAACAGAAAGATGAGGGTACATAGGTGGGCTGCAGATTGAGTTTAGGCTCCACCCCTTTTTGCCCACAAGGTCTTGGGAGAGTAGGCCACCTTTTTTTGGGGGTCTAGGTTTTCCTATCTAAAATGAGATACAGATATATAATATACCATGCCCCAACCCCAGCCCGACGGCCATCACGTAGACGCCAACTCGTGGTAATCCTATGCAAGGTGGGTGTCCCATGCCATCTTTATAGGAGCAGACAGTCTCATCCTTCTCCAGAGGTGCGGTGGGTGAGTTTGAATCATCGACCTCCAGGTGGGCAGTCCAATGCTTACAAATATAAAAGCTACCAGGGCTCCTTCATATTATAATAATATTACTGTATGTCCCAGATTTTTGCATGAGCATGCTTATCACTCTTCTCAATGGGAAAAATGTAAAAAAGATAGAAGGGCTGATATCTAAGGAACCTGTATTCTGGGTTTAAATGGCACTGGCCTCCAATACCACTATGTACACATTGTGGGTAAAAAAGATAAATCTCCAACAGACAACCTTCACCTTGCTCTTCCACGGCCTTGTGAGAGAGCATGCAATCAGGTCACTGGGGCTGTTTATTCGATGTGCCTCCTTCAGGGAAATGATGACAGTAAGTAATTCTATGAGACTGAAAGGGAGACACTTACCTGAGCGACAAGAACTCACTTAACCCTGCCATATACAGGCCACCCTCTCACAATGTGGCTCATTAAGAGAGATGAATTAAGATGCTTTCAAAAGACACAGAGAACAACACCTGTGGCCAGCATGAGCCTCACAAGGTACCAGGGATGTCTGCCTGCTATTCTGTAAATGAATTATTCCTGTGTCTTAAGTATTGAACAGAACAGAGTTCAAGCTCATTGGCAAGGTAATGATCACAGAATCATAAAAAGAAAAGAAGTAATGGTGCCAAATTGTCACAAAAGGAGAGTAATTTCAATAAGCAGAGTTTGGCACTTAGGAAGAACCATTACTTCAATCTGAAGACAGCCAATCTACTTAAAGCTGATTGATTATGTACCCTTAGGCGTATCGCTTACACTCTCTGCATGTCAGCTACTTTTACCTATAAAGGGAATATGAACACCTATCTAAGCCAACTCTCAGGCTTTGGAAATAATTGAGTACTTAAACATAGCATTAATATCAACATAGGGAAGAATTAGTTCCTTTCTTCAAGATTATGGGAGTTTATTTATTGCTTAGTGTTTGTAGTAGAAGGAGAAAGATGGCCACCATATTTGGCAGCCTCCTTGAAGCCAGACTCGTACACGTGAAGAGCTCTGGCCAGTGGAACATCGGCAAGCATTTGCATGCAGAGACTCAAAAAGTCTTTGTGCAATGACACTTGCTCTCTCTTATTGGTTACTTGCAGGGAACCCGCCCACCATGTGAGAGGCCAGAGCTGGCCTCACGCAAGATCAGAAACCTTAGGAAGATCTTGATGTTTTCAAATGTAAACAAACGAATAATTCCAGGAGATGTGTTTAAGCCATTAGACTACCTCTGATGAAGATATCAGGATCATGACCTTGGTCCTAAAGTACAATCAAGGCCACCATAATGCAATGCTCACTGTATACCAAACGCTGCGCCACGTGCGTTGTCACATCATCTTAGTTACCACTCAAAACAGCTCTACAACTTAAGGGTTTTCAATGATCCTATTTTACAGGCATCTGAGCTGTGGCGGTGTAGTTATGTGTTGAGCTGTTAGCCACACATTCAGCTGTTCGAAACCTCCAACCTTTCCTTGGAAGAAAGCCAAGGCTTTCTACATGGAGGAGTTCCAGTCTCAGAAACGCACCAAGGCAATTCTACCCTGTTCTACACGATCACTATGAGTCGGAATTGACTTGACGGCATTGAGTTTTCATGTTATTTTACAGGTGTGGAAACGGAGTGTCAGAGAACACAAAGAAGCCCATTGCAGTCGCGTGA